TTGACTCTTGAAAATGAGAGAGAAATCTGATTTCTAATTCTCATAAATGTCCAAAAGTGATTAAAAGAGAGGGATTTACAAATATATAGGGAGAGGTAGCTTCTAGGAGAAGCTAACCTTAACCATGGTTCACTAGGAACCATGGTAAGGTGTAGCTAACCTTCCATGGTTTATAAAACTTGTAGGAGAAGCTAACTTTGACCATGGTTCACTTAAGAACCATGGTAAGGTCAGCCTAACCTACCAAGGTTTAGAAACTTGGAAGGGAAGCTTCAAACCTTGAAGGAGGAACAAGTAATTTTCGGCCAAAACTAAAGGAGAAGGCTAGGCGGCCAAGGCTCCAAATTGCTCCATGATTTATTTTGAAATTCTTTGATTTGGTTTAGTTAGGTTCATCATATGATGATGAGACCTAGCTAAATCAAATTTATGAAAAATTAGGAGCAAAATGAGTTTAATATGCAAAATTTTGCCTAGGCCCAGTTCTGGCCCAATTACTAGTCACACCCTTAAGCATTGCTAAATGCCACCCCTTTTTCCCTACTGAAAAAAATATAAAATGAACGTATCATCAAAGGAGGTTAAATGCAGTTAAAATCTCCAAGTAACCCACCCTAAAAACAATATACAATCACTAATAAAAGCATGTAAAGTGCCTCACAAATACAAAGGCAAAAATAAGCATATACAAAGAGACTACTATATGTACAAACATATGAAAAGGTCTTTAAGATCATCCCATTCCTCTTGGTTCTTTTAAGATATCACCTCTTGGATTCCTTGGCCTTGGCCATAGTCTATCACCCCATCAGCATCTGCACCTGTGTCAGTGCCAGTACCAGTTCCATCATCTACACCTGAGCAAATTGATGAACCAGTTGGTGCCCAAAATTTTCATGCAGGTGGACCTTCTTCCAGCACCAATTCTGATTTGCAGCAACCTCCTATCCCTCTTCCATTTCCTCCTAAATTGATTCCAAGCAGAAAGATGGAAGAGGTGGATAAGGAGATATTGGAGACCTTCAGAAAAGTAGAGGTGAACATACCTCTACTAGATGCCATCAAGCAAATTCTGAGATATGCAAAATTCTTCAAGGAGCTGTGCACTCATAAGAGGAAAATGAAATAAGAAAAAAATTAACATTAAAAAACTGTTTTTCATTTTGATCTATTATTTTTATTTTAAATTAAATTAATGATCTCAATAAATTCTTAATTTCACATATTAGAGTTTGTTTGAGAATGATAAAACTAAAATCAACTACTATTATTGCTAATATTTATATTTTCTTTAATTTCTTATTAATACTTTTTTAAATTTAAAATTTATTTTTTAAGTAATTTATATAATAATAAAAGAAATTGTCTCGCATTCACATTATTATAACTATCTTTTAAGCTATTTTTTTTTCATAGTTTTTCTTTTTTGTTTTTCTACTTTTCAATATAACTGCAACTACTTACAATTATAACTACAATAAAAATTATGCATATTTTTAATAAATTACTTTAATTTTTAGATTACTAATAATTACAATTATCTTTTTAGATTATCTTTAAAAGTTTATGAAGGTATAAGTGCCTTTAATAAAATATAATACTCATAATGATTTATCACTCGTATTCATTATTTTTAAAAAATATATCTTACGGCTGTCCGTAACCTCTATCTACCTACCTACTGTGTGTCATATAGAACATCAACAAATCATCAAAATTAAAAGATTCGTTGAATTTGGATTTTGTTTTTTCTGTCCTGCATTTGTGTGTCCAACTATCCATTGTTTTACAGAAATTAGTGGAGGATTTTCGACACATACGGTGTTCCTTTCCAGACAGAAAGTAGTAGAGTCAAAAAAACAGAACAACCGAACATTTTGTTAATCGACAACTAAACATGTCAATTGTGTTCTCTGCAGCTGCAAAACTTTCCCCTCTCTTTTCTACTTCATCTCGTTCGTTATTCCCTCCACTTCAGTTTTCTCACACTTACCCTACCAAATTTCATCAAAATGGGTTCCATCCGATTCGCTCCAAATCGAGGACGCAGCCCCTTATTACAAGCTCTTTGCTATCTGATAAGTTTCCAACGGTGGCTGCGCCATCAACGGGACCCATTCCACCCTCTCACCTCATTGAAGTGGTTAAAACTGCTGCACAGACTGGCGCTCAGGTTTTACCATTTTCCCTTCTGCATTCGATTTTTAATGTAACTCATTTGTTATTTTCTGCGGTTTGGTTATACTTATGCATTAGGTTTATGATTTCACTATAGTTCTGTTTTTTTTTTTTAATTATTTATTTCCCTTTGTTTGAAGTGTTGGTGTTAGGAGATATAATTGTTACTTTTATGTTGTTATTTTTCTGTTTCAATTCAGTGAAATAGTTGGTTAGTGTAGTTCTGTTTCTTAGGGATATTCAGATAACGGTTATATCATTTTATCTAACAACCCATGTCTTTGAGCATGTAAATCGTGGGTATTGTTATTGCTTTATTTGTAAGGCTATAATGCCAACCTGCAACTTTGAATTCAATAAGACATTCCTTCGGCATATACATTTAAGTGCAGTATGTTCTACGTTCAACAATTGGTATCAGAGCTCCTTTGTAGGGGCCTGATCCAGAGTCTAATTGAGTGTGAGAGAAACATAATTGAGTGTGAGAAAAACAGTTGTGAGTGTGTGAAAAGAAACGTAATTAAGTTTATGATTTCACTATAGTTCTGTTTTTTTTTTTAAATTATTTATTTCCCTTTGTTTAAAGATCCATGTTGACCAGATACGAACATAATAATGTATATAAGTGAAGAATAATTCTCATCTTATAAACTGATTTTGTAAGGTTGAATTTGGCCACAAGTTCACTTTCTTAATACCCTTCTTCCTATTATGAAGATGATCGGAAGTTAAGTATTAATATTTCTTTTTGGACTCTAAGTTCAACCTTTGAAGTGCTACTATTTATTTCCCTTTGTTGAAGATCCACATTGACCAGAAATATGGTCAAACTAATGTATATAAGTGAAGAATAATTCTCATCTTACAAATTAATTTTATAAGATTGAGTTAGGCTACAATTTCACTTCCTTAATACCCTTCTTCCTATTATGAAGAGGAAAGGAAAGGAAAGGAAGTTAAGCATTAATATTTCTTTTCGGACTCTAAGTTTGAACTTCGAAGTGCTGTTATATTTCTTTGCGACTTGGACGAAACTCTATACAATCATACAGGCATGTTTTGGCTCTGGATGATTTCTAGTTGCCGCTGTGCTGATATTGTGTTGTTTCTAACTTGTACGAATTTCGTGATGAACATTCCATCTTGTTTTCGAGATTGGTAAGTGCGGAAACTTTTCGTTAAGTTGAAAGCCGTAGACATGACGTTGCCTTTGCGGAGAAAATGAAGAGTCTCCGTGGATGATGAAAGTGAAAATGTGAGTAGAAGGGAAGGGTAGAAACTAGAAAGTGACATGGACTTAGAAAAGGTTTTGCACTTTGTCTTTAGCTTTTCCAAGCATTTGAGTTAAGCATTAGAATTCAGCATATGTATAATGAGTAGTATAGCCGACTCATATATTAATGCTAATAAGCCTTAATTTAGGAGATGATTCCTCTTGTAACCAATACTGTACATAATATGCAAGTATATACTTGTATAGACCGATTAATCACAGTTTCTCTTAAACCCTCTTCTAATTCTATATGATATTAGTGGTTCATCGATCCTTTGCATCACTATGCTTTACCAGTGGTTTTTTGGTGTTCTTTTCCCATGCAAACAGCTATGACTTTTCTGGCAAAACCATCATCTGGCAGCATCTACATGTCAGTAGAAGAACCCAAACCAGTGCAACTACTGACAGCCCACCTCCTCCAGCCCAGAATACATTGTCAGGCATGCCTTCCATGTTTTGTGCATTTTGTCGTGCACTAACACGTGTGTGCAGATGCATTCTGAATCTGACATTAATAATTAACTTTTTCATAACTAACTCAAGGCAATATTTTGTTGCTCCTCGGGAACCATTGCTAACAACACACTTGTTTGCCTCAGACAGAAAGAGAGGAACAGAGAGCGAAAAAGAGCAAGAGGTTCTCAAGTAAGGAAGGGAACTAAGGGTCACTAAGCTTGCTATTTGTGTAGGAAATCTAATACCGTTTCTTTTCTTTTACAGTTAAAAAACCCTGGTCGGGTTGCTTGGTTTTGTATGGTAGTAATGCTACAAGTTTCCTTGCCAGATTTACTCTGATTTGAGTTTGAAGAAATTTTGATTCTGACCTTATATTGAGTTATGGTATTTACTATTATGACCTGAATTAAAGAGCTATAATCCTAAGCATATCTCAGATTTCCTTGGTACTTTTAAATGGAAATTTGGATTTTAAACTGAAAGTTGTAGATTTCATGCCTTGGTTTACTGATTTGTCATATTTATTTCAAGAGATTTGGTTATTTGATGTCTGAACATACATTTTGGTGGAGAAAAGGTTTATTTTCTTGCTCCTGTAGATGAAACCTAATGCTTCTGATTGGTTCTGAGGCAAACTCATGTTTCCTTTATTCAAAATAGAGTTCTGGATTTGTACAATTTTTTTCTACTGTTTTGATATGGGGACTTGTCACATGATTTATACTCAAAACACATAAGGTTTGATGCCTCGAACTCATTAATCATATAATTGTACTTGGTCTCCTTCTATTTCCACATAACGCTCTTCCATAA